AAACAAAAGTCAGTCTCTGCAGCTGACTTGTTTGCCCTGGGCCTCATTTCTGAGCACGTTCATGACTGGTGTAAAGCTACCTAACAGTCAGAAACTCCAGGAAGCTCGAACAAGGCTGGGAAGGAGGAGGGCCCACAAAGGACAGGTGTGTGTGGTAGGGGTTTTGTGTGAGCACCAAACGCACCTGAGAGTGCTTTAGTCTCCCCGAGATTTTCCAGAGCCCAGTCTTCCTCCACCCTCAGCTGATGGCATAGCAACTTTTCTTCTGGGAAAGTGGTATCATGTTAAGCACTTCATCTATAAAAATGAGTAAGGAGCTACGGATACAGCTCAGTGGCACAGCGCCTGCCTGGCAAGCACGAGGTCCTGAGTTCCATCCCCAAACCAAGAGTATTGCCAGGCATGGTAGCACACGATCATCCCAGAGCTTGGGAGGCTGACACTGGAGGATCGTGAGTTTGAGGCCAGCTTAGGCTACACAGCAAGAATTTGTCTCAAACACAAAACAAAACAAAATGAAACAAAATTCTGCCCAGGCTCTACAGTATAAAATATATTTAGGAAATAGAAATAGGAGAGAGTTAGTAGTTAGGCAGGCTCTGTTTGAATCCTGATTCCAAGACTTCAGTTGTGTGACCTTCAGCAGGTTGTTTATCCCTGAGCCTGTATTTCCTTATCTGTAGAAAGAGCTAATAAATACCTAACATCTAGAGGTTATTGTGAGGGACAAATATACAAGGTACCTTAGGTAAGTGGAGGAACACCTGGCATGTAATATATATGTGTATTTAATAATGACAGCTATTAACAGTAGTTTTAGGGGCTGGGGATTTAGCTCAGCGGCATAAGCGCCTGCCTTGCAAGCAGGCAGTCGTGAGTTCGATCCCTGGTACCAATAAAAAAGAAAAAGACAAAAAACAAAAAAAGAAAGAAAGAAAAAAAAAAAACAGTAGTTTTGGGCTTGGGTGTGGGGTCACACACCTATAATCCCAGCACTCTGTGAGGCTGAGGCAGGAGGATCAAAAATTCAAACCCAGCTTGGGCAATTTGGCAACTTTGAAAGACCTATCTCAAAAAAAAGAAAAAAGAAAAAAGATGGGAATGGAATGTGACTCAGTGTAAAGGCCCTGTGTTCAATCCCCACTAAAACACACACCCACCCACACACACACACACACACACACACACACACACATCAGTAGTTTTTGGTATTACCCATAAATGAACTTTGCTGTCCTTCACACCTACTTTAGATTTGGAAGTGACCCTACACTCACAGTGTAATCTAAATTCATTTGCTACCAAAGGATTCCTTAGTCTGGTACCTGGAGAACAACAGCCTGGTAAGGTTAGGACAAAGGTGATATTAAAAAATTAAAAGCAGGTTGGCTTGTAGCCTAGTGGTAGAATGCTTGCTTAGTATGCATGAAGCCCTAGCACTATAAACAAACAAAAAGACATACCTACATAATTGTTCAAGTTGATAAAATTATTCTTAGTTTAAAATTTTTCAAGCCAGGCTGGACTTTGTGGTGCATGCCTATACTATCAGCACTCTGAAGGCTGAGGCAGGAGAACTGCCAAGAGTTCAAGGCCAGCCTGGGTTACACAGTGAATTCAAGACTATACTGGACTATGCAGTGATATTCTGTCTCAAAACAAAACAACCAATTTTTTTTAAAGTTAGGTTCCCAAGAGCTTTTTTTTTTTTTTTTTTTTTTGCCTTTTTCCTTTTTCTCGGTACCGGGGATTGAACTCCCGACTGCCTGCTTGCAAGGCAGGCGCTTATGCCGCTATGCTAAATCCCCAGCCCCCTTCCCAAGAGCTTTTTTTGAAAAATGTTTATTACTACTATCTTCAGATTCTTGCCCAAGAGTCAGCTGCATTCGTCATTTGAATAATTGTGTCATGTTAGGCTCTCTGTTAAGCACTAAAGACTCTGAGGTGCATTAAGACATGACTTTTTCTTTTTTTGCTACTAGGGATTGAACCCAGGGCCATGTACATGCTAAGTATGAACTTTATCACTGAGCTACACCTCTGGCCCAAAGGAAACAACTTTTGCCAGAGGAACCACTTAAAAAATTTCCCAGAATTATTTTCACTATCCTATTTCCCCCACATCCTTTAAAAGGTTGATTAATCTGCTTGCTAGTGAGACTTTTTCCTTGTGTCTCCTGAAAGACATTCATCTAACCCTGGCTCTCCCCAGATCTCAACACAGCTAAATTCTACTGCTAATTCTCAATTGTTCTCTACTTAATGCCTATGAATTCCACCTCCCAATAAGATTATTAGTAACTGTAGGATATGAATGTTCTATTAGTTCTTTTTTGTTTGTTTCTTTGTTTTGTTTTGTCTTTTTCTTTTTTTTTTTTTTATCGGTACCGGGGATCGAACTCACGACTGCCTGCTTGCAAGGCAGGCGCTTATGCCGCTGAGCTAAATCTCCAGCCCCTTTGTTTTGTTTTTTGAGAGTAGGTGTTACTATGTAGGCTGGACTTGATCTCACTATGTGGTTCAGGCTGGTATTCAACTCATAGCAATCCTCCTGCTTCAGCCTCCTGAGTGCTCATATTTCAAGTACGTACCACCATATCTGGCTTTTACTTCATTTTCTGTTTCCATAGTGCCAGCCACTTTGCCATCTTTCTTTTTCATTATTTATGATGATTATGAATGAAAATTGTAAGCCTACACATGAAACAGAGTTCAGCTTAGCCCTCTATGTCAGTTTTATCTCAGGTAGATTTCTAGCAAATGGCACTTTCTCGTACCTATCATGTGATTCACTTAGGAAATTTCCTTTTTGCCTTTCAATTTTCCTTTTCCACAGTGTTGACATTGAATACAAGATCAGTGAATTCTGCATGGAAAAATACAAGTTCTATTTTTTCATTTGATCTTGAAAGAACTTGAATCAAGTTGGAAACCACTTTAGAAGCGGACAAGGCAGCTCCTAACATACCTGCAACTCAACAGCCTTGCAGGAGGAGAGCAAAAAGGATTTTGCCCTCATATTATCCTAAAGGGGAGATCTGTTTCTCAACCTAGCTTGAATGGAGGGAGGCAGTATAGTGCCTATTAATTCTACAAGGATCCCCACACTGGAAAAATATCCTGATCTCTCTGAAATCACAGAACTGAGGATCTCTTTTTCTCATAGAATACCACAGCTGTTATTTTTGATTCTGCAGTGTCACCATGGAAGCTTTGAGACTATCCTCACACTGAAGTATGGCTGGTGAAGTCACAGATGGCTCAGGAGTGACATCTGTATCACTGATATTTGTACTTACACCTGAACACTCCCATTTACTCGCAGTATTAGAAAAATGTTAAAGAAATAGAATACATATATAGAAATAGAATATATGTGTATACAGGATACATATAAAGAAATAGAATACATATATCTCTACCTGTAAATACCTGCACATCTGTCGGTGAATGAGACCTTCCCAAAGGCAGGAAGCAGCCTGTCCCTATGGCAGAATTGGTGAAAAGTAGTAGGCTCGTGGCTATTTATAGACTTTAAATTGGCTAGTGCTATATATAATGAATACTTGGCCAATCTCATTTTTCCGAGAGTTTGAGGTAAAGTAAAGGAGATACCAAAAAGAAAAAAAAGTATAATGAAAAAAGGTAATGAAAGGTTCAGGTCATTGCTACAGTTTTAAAAATAACATTACATTTTTTTATAACTGTAGGTACCTGGAAAATTTCTCATGGAGAATTAGATGAAGCAGGATTCTGTTTTGAAAAGGGACTGGGATAACATGAACTGCTGAAGTCTGGGTGTGGAAGTGAAGAGGATTATCTGAATACTGTTTACTGATTTTATTTGACTTCAAGGGTGTTCTCCGGTGTCACTGCTGCTCAGATGCCAAAATGTCTAAGAGCTATGGGTGGAACATGGCATCATCAAGGGAAACTGGTTCGTGGGGCAGAGGACACAAGGGGCCTTCACAGATGAACTCCGAGAGTAATGACACAGAAGCACTTCTGGGTCTGCCTGTGCTGCACCCCTTTTTCTGGGAAGAAGAAAGGCCTTCTACCAAAATAGCAGACAGAACTCTCATCTGAAATGAGGGCGGACACGAGCCACTGCCCAACACGCAGGCAAGAGGAGGATACACTGCTGTCTGAGGCAGAGCTGTATGTGGGATCTCAGCCCCACAGAGTGTAGACGAAGGAGGCATCAGCACAGCCTGCACTGGCACTTCGAGATGGCTCTGGCACCTCACCTTCAGAGCCTCCACGTTGGACACGTTTACCTGTCAGCCCCTCTTCCTTGCCCCATTCTGGTTACTCTGATTCTAAAACCCTCCCAGGAGGGTCTTTCCAGGGTGTTAAGAGTCACGGAGATTTTACTAGGCAACTAGAGAAACTGCAAACTTCTCATCACAGAAGAGCACAATCTGCCCTCTCTTTCTTCCACGGTTTCCTCACCTGTGAAATGGGAATAACAGCCTTGTCGCCTGCACACAGGGAAAGTGCTGCGCTGGATGGAAACGGCGATAAAAACCCAAAGCATTGTCCTTGTGGACGTTGATGCTATTGTTATGACATCCTGTAGCTCCCAATCACCTTAAACAACAAAGTATCTGCTACACGTGCTTTAAAAGTCACAGCCTGCTGAGGATGGCTGCATGAAAGCTAGTTAAAACAACAAATCCCGGAGCCCGGATCCGACGCCACTCAGTCGGAAGCTGTGAGTAACAAGCCAGGAGACCTAGATTTTTAACAAGCTCCCGGCCCCTGCTGGGATGCGCGGTCCGCCAGGTCCGGGTGACCCGCATTTTTCCCCTTCCATGCACAGAGCCGTGCAACCCGGTTTGGAGGAACCGATGTGAGGCATAGACCACTTCCCGCACTTTTCAAACTTGACCCGTGGAGATGGGTTATAAGAGATAGACAAACTGGAGCTTTAGAGGCGTTCACGCCCCGGCGCACCCCAGAGAGGGTCCCCAAGGGCAGGCTGCAAGGCCAGGACTCACCTACGATGATCCCGCAGGCGCTGACCAATCCGATCTCCTTCTTCAGGGCCACCCCGCCCCCTCCGGAGTCGGCCCCGGGTCCGGCCTGGGACTCGCCCCCCGCAGGGTGGTTCTTCTCGGCGTTGCTGCGGTGCCTCGCTCCTTTTTCCATCTTTCTCAGTCGGGTTGCAGCCTCCAAATGCAACCTGCCTCTCTCTCAGCGCGTAAATATTAGGATGCAGGCAGAGAGAAGACTTTTCAGATTTAAATGCCCTTTTCCAAAATCGGGAACCACGCCTGACCCCTAACCAGACGAGCGGATAAAAGGGAAAACTGAAAATATTCCTACGAGGCTTCCTTGTCACCTGTGCTTACCAATGCGGACCGTGTCGCTTGAGGACATGTATATTAAGAGTACAAATACAGCAGTCTCGCGGGTCCGGCTGGAATTCTCCGGATCCAAAGGGTTCCTTGAAACCAGGATGGCTCTGGTCCGTGCAAAAAGACAGCCTGGATTTCCCCGCAGCTCTCGGGGATTGCCTTGGCCTCCCCTTGGTCCTTTCGTTAGGGGAGCATAAAAGTAGTTTTCGCTAACTGAGATGGGGAAAGGGCAATCCTCAGGTGCTTTCTTCTGGTGCAGAAAAACAAAGCCGCGGACCCGGCCGGGTGGCTCTAGGTCTGGTTCCCACCTGCTGAGGTTGGCTTCCCCTGCCCAGCTCGGCTTCCGCTTCTCCAGAGCTGCTCTTCCTCCTCGCCGGCTTCTCGCCCTCGCGCTCGGGTCGATCTCCCGGCTCACAGCGCGTGGGGCTGCATCGCTCCGGGCTGCAGGAAAGCGGCTCCTCCGCCCGCGAACGCCTTCCCTTTTAGCCAGGGTTTTATTTGCTGACCAGGCTCCGCCCCCACCTCCTCCATTCTGAGTCCCCTCTCCTCCTCCTCCTCCTCCTCCTCCTCCGCAATTTAAATATTAGCACAGAGCCCCCCGCCCATCGCCGAGAAAATGGATTAAAACCTTTCTCTTTATAATAATCGCTTTATCCTTATACCGAAGTGGAAATAAAAATCCTTCCACATTCACCTCTCCCAGAGAACTCCTTAGCTAATATTGCATTACAGATCGCGCAGTATTTGTGAGCTTTAGGAAGCAGGGAACAGTTGTGCACTGACTTTTAATGTCATCAGAAATAAACTAGGCTATGTTTTATTTACGTATGGATTATTTGAGGATACAGGAGAGAAGGTTGTAGGGAATCATCTTAAACCATTTCTCGAAAATAGGGGGAATCCACAAGGCGGGCCCGAAGATGGAAAGAATTAATAATAATGGCAGAATAATAATAATAATAATAATAATAATAATAATAATAATAATAATGGCAAAGAGTTTCATTTAGTGGCACAGTGAGCTATGAAGACTGAAGAGGTGCTAGGTTCACTGTCCATTGACCTTATTTAGAGTTGACTTGACGAGGGGGGAAGACTACTCTGTCCCTGGTTCACAACTTGGCATCCATATTTTTGCATCTATGCTACTTGGAATGAGATGGGAGGAATGACCAGCACTACAATGCTCAGAAAGCAGATTTACTGGTGTTAAGAGATACTTCTAGGCTGGAGATGTTGCCTCACATGTGGAAGGGCCTGGATTCCATTCCAGTAACGTACCTGGAAAACAAGACAACTAACACGGTACCTTATTGGTATGGTACCAGGGTTGGGGATTTAGCTCTATGATGGAAGCACCTGCCTGGTATGGTACCTCCTCTTCCCTGAAGAATTTCACCCAGAAACTGTTGCTTTTCCACAAGAGCAGTGCTTTTTCTAATTGTAAAGTACTTTGAAAGAAAGAAAAAACTGGCGCAATATAGCAGAGACAACCTCACAAGTTTAAAGTAATTTTGAAACTTTAAAATAAATTATTTACTGATTTGTGTGTTTGCGATACACAATAAACACATTCACTGTGGGAAATTAGTGCACATACATATCATGTCTTGATCCTCTTTACTTACGTGTCCCCTCCGCTACCTTCAATATTATTGACTATTATGCAATTTTTATTTATTTCAAAATGGATCTGAAAAAATAAGATTTTCCAAACTGATCACAAACTACTGAAATTTAGCCTCACTTTATGGAAAAGGTTCGAAAAGATTTGGGGTTTTAAGGCAAATAAATACTTAATTCTCAATGGCATTGGCTGAACCAAATGCAAAAGCATTTCGAATGGGGTAAAGTCCAATCAGCAGTCTTCTTTTCAGTTTGCTCCTTGATTACTCAGCAAAGCTTAAGAGGTTTCAAAGGTTGAGATTTCAGCCCCTTCTCCTTCTTCTGGTTCAAGGTATAATAAATTGAAAACCTCAGCAAAATAAATAAATAAAAGTAGAGGTTGGTGTGTAAGGAATTTTCAACAAAAAGAACAGACATGGCAGGGAATATATAGCACAAAACTCTGTAGGAGGGAATGAGTCCTGGAAAATGAAAAAATTTTGAATTGCCTTTACTGACAGCCTTAGAAAACAGAGGGAAAATTTGATGGATTCATTTAAACAATCTAATTTGAAGACTTCTGCTCATATACCAATATCAAAGGATAAAACAAATTGTCTCAAATATGAGTTCTTTCGTAATGTTTTGTGGTGCTAATTTAAATGGTTTAAATGGTTTTACCATGGAATAAAATGTGACTGATGAAATTGAGGTCTCTCACTAAAATGAGTGCAAATTGACAATCCAGTAAGCTTTAGTCCTCTCAGGTTATGAATTGGGATGCTGAGGGCAAATATTGAATCAAATATATTCTTTGGATATAGTATGCACCCAACTGGCAAGGGTGAGTTGTTGAAGATTATTATAGAAATATTATAATATTTCTATTTTTTTAACACTTGGAATTTACAAATGTCTTATGGCAGTCTATAAATGGTACAATGTAAAGGCCAGGAAAGCAATCCCTCCCTCCCTCCAAAGGGACCATTACTCACATTATATTCCTCTCTTTAGGCTGGGATCTTTTGTAACATAAACTCTAACGGTGTCATCTGATTAATATTGAACACAAGGCAGAAAAAAGCATTAGAGTAAATATATCTAGAAAATGATTAATCAAAGCTTATTAAATTTTGAATACTGAATTCTTTTTACTTTGAGACATAGTCTTGCTAAATTGACCAGATTGGGCTTCTGCCTCAGTCTCCCACAGAGTGCTGGGATTACAGGCATCTGTCACCATGTCCTGCAGTCCTGTTCTTTTTTATCCATACTTCTGTTCTACATTTGCCTTTATGTTTTTGTTTTGGTTTTTTTGGTGCTGGGGATTGGACTCACAACCTCATACTTGCCAGGTAGCACTTGTGCCACTGAGTTAAACCCCAGCCCCATGCTTTTTGTTTTTGTTTTTGGTACCAGGGATTGAACTCATGACCTTGTGCTTGCCAGGCAGGCACTTATGCCACTGAGCCAAATCCCTGGCTCTCCCTTTTTTAAAATTTTACATTACATTTAAAATTTTTCTTATTTTGCTTTACATTTAAATTGTGCTTGCAGCTGGGCATGGTGGTCCACATCTATAATCCCAGCACTTGGGAGGCTGAGACAGGTGGATCTCTGTGAGTTCAAGGCCAAGCTGGGCTACATAGTGAACCCAAGGCAAGACTCTCTCAAAAATAAATAAATAAATAAATATTTTAAAATCAAATTGTGCTTTACAGTTTACAACTTTTCTGAACAATACATTAATTTTCCTCCCTCATCAAGTATCTTCAATAGACAAAGTAGTTATTCTAAAGATTTTTAAAAATTTTTGTGGCACTTGGCATCAAATTCACAGCCTTCCACATGTCACACAGGAGTTCTATCACTGAGCTTAACCCCATCCCTTATCTTAAAGGCTTGAAAGATTACAGTGCTAAAAGGCTCAAAGAAGTGTATTACCTGAGGTCAAAAGCCAGATATTTAATCTACTAAGCATATAGGACATCAGTGGTTTACACTGAATGTTTTTCCGAGGCTATTATAGGTAATGTTGATGGTTCAATTTTTCTCCTGAAAGAGAAGACTTTTGTTGTTTTGTTATTGTTTTTGTTTTTTGAAACAGGGTCTTACTATGTAGCCCAGGCTGGCCTCAAACTCATGGTGATCCTATTGCCTCTGCTTCCCAAATGCTGGAACCACAGGTGTACACCACCATACTTGGCAAGAAAATTTTGATCAAGCCCCCAGCTCCCGCCATATGTTATTGAGTTGATGTCATAACTGAACCTTTTAGAGGTTCACTTGATGTCAGCACTTTACATCTGCTCAGTGAGCCCCACAAGACTTAATCCAGGTCCCCCCACATTTGCACCCTCTTCACATAATCTGTGTCTTGGCCAGCCGTTTCCCAGCTACTTAGCATAACTGTTTCCAGCTTCTGAGAGACTGTTCTCATTATTTTGTATGCTTAACATGGGGAGAAATCCATCCTTTTAACCAGAAAAAGGGTGGGTGGGTTGTTTTCCTACAGGCACAGTGTGGACGTAAGTCTGTGTGTGGCTGACACCTACTGTACAAAAAGGGAGATGGCATGGGAAAGTGCTGCTTGTAACAACGAAATAAAACCAGTCACGTTCTATATTCCCGTTCCCAAACAGCACATACCGTGTGTTAATGCAAAAGAACAGAGCACAGAGTCGTCTACTACATTGCAGTTTTACTTCTGGGGCCAGTGAACAGGACTCCATTTTTGCTTTCTGTAACAAAATTGTGACATGTGAGGTCATTCCTAAAGGACCCAAACCTCTCTCTGGAGTCTCCAGCTCACACAACCTCTGCTCTTCTCTGTGTACCCAGCTAAAGTAAAAGGAAAGCCTCCTTTACATGGAAGTCCATGGCCGATTAGATAGCAGCTTCCTGCGCCAGGGAATCTAGGAGACTTTAGACAGCCTGCAGAAGGAAATGAGTGAGAAAAGGGGAAGGTGAACAAAAGGAAAGGCTAAAACAGGTCAGAGTGAAAGGGATCAAACAAAGACACTCAGTAAATCCTTTACAACCTGCCTGTGCCTTCTGGACACATTCATAAGTTCAAAGGAAGTTTGATCTTCTAGGGTTTATACAATCCTAAGAATCTGGATGGAGCAGACCCTATTTTGTTATGATAGTCAATTAATTCATGCTCTTCTGGAGATAATGATGGATCCCTGCTCTGACACTGCAGACAAAATGTCAGCACATTATCCCTGTCTGCTGCACTTGGCCGAATTCCACGGAGTCAGCCCAGAACTAGTGGGAAAGAAAGAATGATGCATTCCTCACACCAGTCCTCACCCCCTTACCTCCTCCGCTGGGCCCCATCTTTCGTGGGGTCTTCATGTTCTTCTGAGAATTTCGGTGATCGGGTTCTGAGTACTTAATACAAAACTTTCATTCTTAATTGTTTTTTACTAAATTTCCCCAAGATGACGGCTCACTCTTTTAAGCTACAGATGACAAGTTCTTCAAGGGCAAAGACTTGCTTTCTCCACTATTGCTTCTGCCAGTACCTAAAACAGTGTCTGATACTCAGTAAATAAGAATGAATGATAAGTAGTGATATACATTACGCATAATAAGCAAAAATAACTAACTTTTGATGTGCTAAAAAACTATAGTAAGATGCCCGTAAGATGTTAGTGCCTAGAACAAGCCTGGGTTATAGAAAGAGGAGGAAACATGATCAATGTTTTGACTTAGAAGATTACTGCAAGTGGACCATAGTCATCAAGTAGGCCCTCAGCAGAACCCAGGAATCCCACCACAGTCCTGTGGTCAACTCACACTTCCACTTACCACCTTCTCTCTTAAAAACTACAAATCTCTTTTCCCACATCTTTACTTCTGCAACCAAATACAGTGGGTTCACAC